CCCCGCCAGTGAGGAATCTGCAGAACCGTTAGGGTGCGGGTGCAGGTGCAGTAGGTGTTAGCTGAAGAGGCATACTTCAGGGAGGTGGCCAGGGCCAGCCCGCCACAATACAGCGAGCGTCACTGTAAACTGCATCGTGTGGCTTTTCTAGTTCTGCGCTGTAATATCGTGGAAAGGTCTGAAGAACTGTGAGACACAGGCAGTACCTACTCCTGGGGAAACTGCCTCCACTGCTTTCTCAAGGAAACCTCCCCTGGTTAAAAGACATTGTATCTGGGAAGTATAGGCAAGGCAGTGCCGTGAAGCAGTCTGCCTGCACCACAATGTCCCCGGAAGTTAGTCCTCTGGATGTGTCTGTCGGTAAACCTGGAGGCAGCAACACTCACGCGTCAAACCAAACTCACTGCCATTGACTGATGTCGACTCAGTGACCCCACAGGACAGGGGAGAACTGCCTTGTGGTTTTCCAGACTGTAACGCTCTTAGGGTATAAAGAACCCTCTCCCTCCCAAAGAGCGGCTGATGGTTTCAAACTGCTGACCTTGCAGGTTGCAGCCTAACACATAACCACACTCCTTTGAAATACCCCACAATCTAAAATTTATTTTCAAAAGTAGGACTGCACAAAGGAGTAGACAGTGTTATTTTTTGGATCAAATGGGTTCCAGGGGACACAGACAAGACCGAGGGCTCATCTCATCCATCCTGTTATTCCAGGCACCTCCTGTGTGCCAGAAGTGTCTAAAACACGCCGGGGCGGAACAGCTTACAGACAGACTATCACGGAGAAGACAGGAGGTGCAGCTAAGTAATTATAAAGGAAACCTTCTGAACCCCTCCCCAAATTAAAAGTAAAATACTGGAAAAGAAAACTTTCAGGATTAAATGGGAGGTCTTCTAGCCCCACCTGTGGCCCTAGGAACAGGTAGCAGTTGTGTCATGAGCACCAGCAATCTGGCACAGTCACTCAGTCCACAAAGAGTGTCATGTCTGGGACACTCCAGGAGCCTGGCAGTGGAGTGAGCTGCTAACCACGAGGTCAGCAGTTCAAACCCACCCGCCACTCCTTGGGAGAAAAATGAAGTCGTGGTCTCGGAGACCTACAGGAGTGGTTCTACCCTGTCCTCTGGGGTCACCGAGTCAGCATCCACTCAATGGCAGTGAGAGGAAGTGTGCCCCTGGCACTGTTGGATGCACTCACACTCCATCCCCCTGCCATCAAGTCGGTAAAGGGGAGAGTGACCCCCAGGCAGTCTGGTACCCAGCCCCATTCTCGGCCTCTTTCTCTTTGACCTCAGGCTCATAAAGGACTCAGTGCATCACTTACAGGCCCTGATGCAGTCTGGCATGAATAGGCCCGAGGCATGGAACCAGACCACCTTCCAGCTTCTCCAGGCTACCAAGGTGAGCTGCCTGTCGGCATCAGCCCCACGGCAAATCCCGGCTCTGCCATCAGGCCCTAGGCTGGCTCTGTGGCTGTCCTGTTTCCCTGCCAAGGCCTCAGTCCTGGATTTTAATTAAAGGACTTAACTCCAAAGCTATCTGCTGGCAGCTCTTAGGGGGGAAACATAATGAGAGAGTGTTACTGGATTTGCTTCAGGTTGTTCAAATATCTCCTCCCAGACAGAAAAGCAGGTCAAGTCTCCCCTCAGCCCCGCGGACCATCCTCAGATCTCTGAGTCCGTTTCCACATGCCTTGTGTTTGTGCATAACGCGTCCCTGAGTCCTCGCTCCGCACCGGGGACGAGGTCCTGGGCTAGGCACGGTGCGCCCCCGCCCATACCATAGCCAGATAGGGCAGTACTCCACTGGGAAGCCCAGGCTGCTGTGGACTCTACTCCCGTAAAGAGCCACAACTTCGGCAACCCCTTGGGGCTACTTTGTCATACTCGGCTCGATGGCAGTGGGTTCGGGTTGTGATTTGTGGGGACCCAGGTCCAGTGTGCATCCGACCACGGGGGTGGTGCAAGGCTAGGCAGTGGGTTGTTCCACTGTGCTTGTTGGTTAAGAGCTGGGAGCTACCGCCAGGCAGCCAACAGCAGCAGCAGCAGGGGGGTCCCAGAGCATCTCCACCTGCTGTGGGGCATCAGAGAAGGGGCTTGCCCAGCTGAGCTGAAGTGAGTCAGGGCTTTGGAGGGGTGGCAGTGAGGCCAAGGGAGCATCGGGTACACAAGCAAGAGAAAGAACAGGCCTGCTGCCTGCGAGGAAAGGCAGGTCCTCCCCAGGCGGGCTGCTGGAGAGGCCAGACCGTGAAGAGGAGAGGAGAGCGCCTGGCCAGGGCTGGGCTGCCCACCTGTGAGGGAGAAGTCTGGGGGCTGTCACAGGATGGATGGGAAGTTCATCCCAGGGTTCGTAGCTGGCCTTGCAGACCATTGGGGAAAGAATGGGGTCAGGCTGGAGACCAGTTAAGAGGCAGCGGCAGCAGTCTGGGTGCACAGAGTTGTCGGTCAGAGAAGGGAGAACAGGCCTCAGGAGCGAGGGTTGGGGGGGGTAAGGGGGTGGGGGTGGGTGGTACGCAGCCGAGAATCCTCTCCAACTGGAGCTTGGGATGCCAGCACTGCCCACAGCTGGAAAGCCACAGTGATCACCCAACTCCCAGGCCTCAGGCCCCAGGAAAGGCAGCCTTTGACTAGGAGCTGCTGGAGGACTCCTTCCTTCCCCGCAGGCTGGGCAGGAGTGCCCCCTGCTGACTAGGCACCGCCACCACACCCGTTGCCGCGGGCATTGACTGCAGCTCAGTCTGCTCCCCATGTTCAAGGGGGGTGGGGTGGGTGTAGCTAAGGCGGCGCTCGCACCCAAAAAAGAAAACATTGAAACGCACCGTCATCTAGTCAATTTCTACCTATAGCCACCCAATAGGACAGGGTAGAACTGCCTCTGTGGGTCTCCAAGACTGTAATTCTTTTTGTTGTTACTTTTTATTATTATTATTATTAAATACTTTTATTGGGGGCTCTTACATCTCCCATCACAACTCATATATCCATCCATTGTGTCAAGCACATTTGTACATACGTTGCCATCATCATTTTCATTCTACTTGAGCCCCTGGTATCAGCTTCACATCCCCCCTTCATAAGTTATAGATGATTATTTTCATATCTTACATCGTCCTCTGTCACCCTTCACCCACTTTTCTGATGTTCATCCTCTGGGAGGGGGTCATATATTGATCCTTATGATCGAGTCCCCCTTTCTCCCCTCACGTTCCCCTTTTCCTCCTGGTATCTCTACTCTCATTGTTGGCTGTGAGGGGTTTA